AAATACAAAATAGGGATGACCCAGTCTGGGTCAGAAGATCCAAAACCAAGAACTCTAAGGGCAGGAAAAGATGGATGTCCTGATTTGAGCAGTAAGACAAACATAATTTAACTTTTCTCTAACTTTTTTTCTACTTAGGCCCCCCAATCAATTGGATAATACCCACTCACATTTGAGAGGAACATCTGCTTTATTGAGTCCATTGATTCAAATGCTAATGTTTCCAGAAATACCCTTACAGCAAACTTAGTAGGGTGGTGTGTGTGTGTGTGTGTGTGTGTGTGTGTGTGTAGCGGGGGTGGGTTATGGGACTTACGACACACACGACACACACAAAAGGACTGGACTGGATGGGACATGGATGAGAGACTTAAAGGAGGAAAGATTTATTTTGGCTCACAGTTTCAGAGGTGTCACTCCATGGTCACTTGGCCCCATTGCTGTGGGCTTGTGATCAGGCACAATATCATATCAGGGAGTGTGTGGCAGGGCAAAACTGCTCATTGCTAGGCAGTCAGGAAGCAGAAAAAGACAGCCAGAAGCCAGGGACAAAATATACCTTCAAAGGCATATCCCAGGCTGGGAATGTAGCTCAGTGGTAGAGCTTTTTCCTAGCATGTATGAGGCCCTGGGTTTGATTCTCAGCACCATATATAAATAAATGAATAAAATAAAGATCCATCAACATCACACTCCCAACCCTCAGTGACCCACCTCTTCCAACTAGACCCCACCTCCTGAAATTTTCACCACCTTCCTATAGCTGAGGGGTGGGGAGTGGGAGAATGGGGACCAAGTCTTTAACATACAAACCTTTGAAGACATTCCAGATCCAAACTATATAACACAGAAACACTCAGAAATAATGTTTCTATTATTTAGAAATAATGTTTATCTAGGTATCCCTTGGCCAAGTCAAGCTGACACATAAAATTAACCATCATAGATTGTAGTATTCCTAAAATTGATTTAAGATTCAAAGTAATCCTTATCAAATTCCCAGCTTGGGCTGGGCAAAGTGGCCTATGCCTATAATCCCAACAACTCAGGAAGATGACATAGGAGGATCACAAGTTCCAGGACAATTCAATTCCCAGTACAAAAAAAAAAAAAAAAAAGCTTATTTCTGTGCAAAAATTGACCATCTGGTCCTAAAACTAACAAGGAAATTCAAATTCTAAAATAGCCAAAACAATCTTGAAGAATAATAGAGTTGGAAGACTCACACTTCCTAATCTCAAAATTTACTACAAAGCTATAGTCTTCAAGGCAGTGAGATATAGCATAAAGATAAACAGATTGATGGAATAGTTTTGAGACCAGAAATAAATCCTTATTTTGAAAATTAATTTTCAAAAAAGTACCAAGAGAATTCAACGAGGAAAGGATAATCTTTTCAACACATAGTACTCATTCAACTGTGTATCCACATGTAAAAGCACAAAAACTGTGATGATCAATTTTAGGTTTTGACTGAAAGAAAGATGCTTACATGGCCCCTGAAACACTGTTTCTGGGTGTTTTGGTGAGTGATTTTTTTTTCCCTTTTCTTTTTCTTTCTTTCTTTCTTTTTTTTTTTTTTTCTTTTTTGGTACCAGGGATTGAACCCAGAGCACTCAGCCACTGAGCCACATCCCCAGTTCTATTTTGTATTTTATTTACAGACAGAGTCTCACTGAGTTGCTTAGCACCTCGTCTAGTTGCTGAGGCTGGCTTTGAACTTGCAATCCTCCTGACTCAGCCTCTCAGCCACTGGGATTACAGGAGTGCACCACCATGCCCAGCTACAGTGAGTGTGTTTTCAGAGGAGATTGATGTGAGTTGATGAACTGAGGAGGTAAGATCTGCCCTTGGTTGAGTGGGGAGCTTGGACAGTGATGGCGGAGCTGACAGAACAAAAAGGGAGAAGGGTGAATTCTTGCTCTTACTCTTCTGGAGCAAGATGCCCTACTTCTTCTGTCCTTAGACTTTAGGACTCCATGATTTTTTTTGGTATTTGAAGACTGGGATTTGCATCCCTGGGACTCTGGGACTGAGCCATACTATAGACTTTTCTGGTTCTTCAGCTTGCAGAATGCCTATTATGGAACTTTTTATTCCCCCAAATCATGTGAGCCAATCCTTTCTCATAAACCTATATATCTACATCTGTATCTCTCCTCTGTTGACTCTATGAAAAACCTTAACTAACACAAATCTCTTCCTTATACCATATACAAAGATTAACTCAAAATGGGTCATTTATTAAAATGTGAGAACTAAAACTATAAAAGTCCTAGAAAAAAAAAATAGAGCTAAATCTTTCTTTTTAACCCTCAGTAAGACAAAGCCTTCTCAGATGAGTCTGAAAGTATGTGATAAAGAAAAAAAGCACAGGTAAACCAGTCTTTATCAAAAACAAAAATTTCTATACTTTAATGGATACCATTAAAAGTGAAAAGATAAGCCAGCATGGTAGCACACGCCTGTAACCCCAGCTACTCACAAGGCTGAAGCAGAAAGATCATAAGTTTGAGCAATTTATCAAGACCCTGTCTCAAAATAAAATAAGTAAAAAAAGGCTAGAGAACAGTTGAGTTGTAGAAGTCTTGCCTAGCATGTGCATGGTCCTAAATTTAAATTCCAGTACCATAAGAAAAGTGGGGAAAGGAAAGACAATCCACAGAATGAGAGAAAATATTTTACAGATCACATATTTTATATTATTTCTGGAATATAAAAAGAACTCTTGTAACTCAATAATAAAAGAGATAATCCAATTTTAAAATATGTAAGAGATCTGAATACATACTTCTTCAAAAAATATACAAATGGCCACTAAGCACACGACAACATGCTAAAAATTAGCCATCAAGAAAATGCAGAATGAAACCACAATGAGATACCACTTCACACTAACTAGAATGGCTACAATAAAAAATATATATATGTATTAGTGAAGGTGTAGAGAAACTAGATCCCTTATTTACTTCTTGTAGAACTGTAAAATGTTGTAAGCATCTTGGAAAAGAATCTGGTACTTCCTGAAAAGGTTAAACAAAGCCAGGCACAATGGCAAATGCCTCTAATTCCAGCAACTCAGGAGACTGATACAGAGCATGACAAGTTTGAGACCAACCTCAGGAAGTTCAAGGTCATCCTAGGCAACTTAGCAATACCCCATCTCCATATAAATAATAAAAACTGGGCATGGTAGTGCACACCTGTTATTCCAGCAACTCAGGAAGCTGAGGCAGGAAGAGCTTAAGTCGTAGGCCAGCCTCTGCAACTTCCAAGACCCTGTCTCAAACAATAGGGCTGGGAATGTACCTCAATGGTAGAGTGCCCCTGGGTCCGATGACCAGTACTGATGGGGAAAAAAGGTTTAAACACAGTCAATATATGACTTAGCAATTCTTATCCTAGGTATATATGAAAGAGAACTAAAACATGATCCACACAAAAACTTGTACACAAATGTTCACCCCAAAATTATTCATAATAGCCAAACTGTGGAAACTATCCATATGTTCCTCAACTGATAAATGAATAAACAAAATAAAAGGTGAGGAACATGAACAGTCTAATACAAAGGGCAATTGAAGCTTAGGGAAGGAAAGCTTCAGAAAATCAAATTATTTGGATAGATAGAATGAGTCTAAATTTCTGAGTTTCCAATGAGCTAGATCCTAGTAATTTAATACCAATTTAAAGGATTTTTCTAAGAGTATTTTGACTGATTACAGGTTTTGACTCATAATCCTGCTATAGAACCTAATCCCTATGTAAAATGAACTCTTTCCATTGTTCAGAGATAGGCAATTCTGTTATGAACCTTGTAATTTGGTGAGAGCTTCTCTGTACTTTCTCATGGCCACTGCTCTGCCACCAAGGGGCAGCCATTGCCTAACTCTCCCTACAACCAAAGATAAATGGATTTAGCAGGGACATGTAACTCCTGGATAGCCAACCCTAGATTGCTGGTAGGAAGAATAATGACCCCCAGAGATGCTCATGTCCTAACCTCTGGAACCTGTCAATATGGCAAAAGAGACTTGAGATGGGCAAAATTATCCTGGATTATCCCAGTGTGCTCAATGAAATCACAAGGGTCCTGATAAGAGAGAGAAAAGTCAGAGATGTGACCACTGATGCAAAGGTAAACCAGTATAATACAAGGCCCATGCAAGAACATGGGCAACCTCTAGAGGCCAAAATTCTAGAGCCTTTAGAACAAATGCAGCCCTGCCAAAACCTTGATTTTAGCCCCGTGGGGCCCATTTTGAATCTCAAATCTCCATAACTATAAGATAATGTATTTGTGTTATTTAGAGCTACTAAGTTTATAGTAACGTGCTATAGTAGCAATAGGAAACTAGTACAGTGGGTCATTAACCTATAAATAGATAATATAACAGATAAACTGGCCAATTTCCCAATCTCAGCAATCTGATTCTAAGCACTGAGACTTGATAGTAGGAGATAAACTGATGGAGATATACATGTCATGGCCATGAGATGAAGTTAGGAGTAAAGAAGACTATGAGACAAACAAAGAAAGAAGCCAGCACTTAAAGCTTAAGACCTTGTGCCTGATGGTTTTCTTAATTGCCTCCCTCAGCAATCTTTTCAAGAATTCTCCCTAATCTAAAGGTAGCATGAATGAGTCTACCCCTTTCAAAAAGAGATCAACTAGAATCAAGGTCTCACATACAGTCTGCCTTATAAACCAGATCCTCTGAGGGAACTTCCAACCCTACTTTATTATTCAAGCTTTACTTACTACTGGGAGTGATATAGACATTTGGAAGAAACTCACTAACCACATATACTACTATTATGAATACATTCCTTCAAAATATTCCTTAATAAAAGCAATGAATAAGGTAATCTATAATTAATAAGTGTCAAGATACAACTGCCCAAGTATTTATTAGTCATAAGGATAGCACAATAAAATTCTAATGCAACAATATGAAAATAAAATTATTTTTCACCAAATCACACCTCTTGGTTCTTACCATGTAAGGATCCACAGAAAGATAAAGAGTTCTAACTTGTACTTGTCCTTCATTAATAGTATCTGATATACTGACTTCTTCCAATCGGAAATTCTCTGCCACTGGATTACCATTTTTTCCTAAAATATCAGGCAAAAATTTAGTCAAAGAGTCACTTCCCTATATACAATTACTATTTTTTTAAAAGATCACCTGGGATTCAGGGCACTCCCTTTTAAAACAGGCATGAATAAATCCATATTGTCTTGTAACTTCTCTGAAATTATAGCAATGACTCAGCATAGTCTCAAGCAGTTTTCATCACTCTTGATGTTCTCCAAGAAGTTCTTTTCAAAGATTGCTTTCAGCTTCTAATTTTTTTTTAAAATTTTTTAGGGAACATCTTTCTTTCTTTTTTAATGTTTATTTTCAGTTGTAATTGGACACAATACCTTTGTCTCATTTATTTTATTTTTATTTGGTGCTGAGGATCAAACCCAGTGCCTCACACATGCAAGGCAAGCACTCTACCACTGAGCCATAACTCCAGCCCTCTAATGATTATAGGTAAATCACCTCACCTGTTTTAATTTTAGGATTTCAAAAAACATAAAATCGCCTTCAGCTGTCTTTTTAATTACAAAAATTAAAATTTTACAAACTAGCAGAAACACTTCCACCAAAGTGAAAAGTTAGGCGAGTTTTGCTTCCTCATTTTGAGAAGCAAACAGAATCTTTCTAAAAAAAAATATATAGAGATAGATAGATAGATAGATAGATAGATAGATAGATAGATAAATTCTAACTATTCAACTACAACTAAAAAATAAATATTTTTTAAAAAAAAGTTTCGGGCTGGGATTGTGGCTCAGCGGTAGAGCACTCGCCTAGCATGCGCGGGGGCCCTGGGTTAGATCATCAGCACCACATAAAAATAAATGAATGGAATAAAAGTATTGTGTCCAACTACAACTAAAAAAATAAAATTTAAAAAAAGTTTTAAAAATCAACAAATTAGAAATGTTGAGGCATGAAAAAAGTCTGTAAGCAGAAAATGTCATCACTAAAAGTTTACTCAGATTTGATAACTTTAACATAAGTAATCTGCCTATTCAAGAATCATCCAATTTCTAAGGTGGGAATAGAACGTAAAGATCTTTTTTCCCCACTAGTACTGGGGATTGAATCTGTGTGATCTACCACTGAGCTATAGCCTCAGTCTGTTTATTTTGAGATAGGGTCTTACCAATTTGCCTAGGTGGACTCGAACTTGTGATTTTCCTAGCCAGTCTCCCCAGTACTGGGTTTTAGAATGTAAGGATCTTATTCTAACTGCCCACTTTTCTAAAACTGAAGTCAGAAAAGTTACATGACTTCCTCAGGTCACAGTAAACAGTAAAATGAAGATAACAGTGGGCCCAAACTTTTCAGGTTACTTACATACCTAAGTTTCTATGATTCAGTTAGATATCAACTCTAACATAAGTCAGTACATTTAACAGAAAACAGAAAATCAAATTTTAAGAATCAATGATACTTGGGGCTGGGGATGTGGCTCAAGCGGTAGCACGCTCACCTGGCATGCGTGCGGCCCGGGTTCGATCCTCAGCACCACATACAAACAAAGATGTTGTTTCCAACAATAACTAAAAAATAAATATTAAAAAATTCTCTCTCTCTCTCTCTGTCTCTCTCTCTCTCTCTCTGTCTCTATCTCTCTCTTAAAAAAAAAAAAATCAATGATACCTCCAGGCCTGGTGGCATATGCCTGTAATCCTGGCAATTTGGGAGATGCAGGAGGATCACAAATTCAAGGCCAACCTTAGCAATTTAGTGAGGCCCTAAGCAATTCAGCAAGGCCCTGTCTCAAAATAAAATATAAAAAGGGCTAGGGATGTAGTTCAGTGGTTAAGTGCCCCTGGGTACAATCCCTGGAGCCCTCCCCCACCAAGAAAACACACTTATTTGTAATATGTGGCTTTTAAATGTTATGATACAAAAAATACCTTATCTCATCAACAATGGTCTTAATAAGTTATCATTTGAAAAAGTACTACATTGTTTAAAGAGTTTCTTCTGTTATATTATCTTAATATTTTACTACCTTAGTTCACCAAATTAATATCATATTAGTTTTTATTTCTTCATATACATCAGCAATTATCAAAAAATGCAGTTGTTCATTCATTATAGACAAATACCTACCAGGTCGGGAATTTAATACCACTTGCTGTACAATCATCACTCTGTTTGTGCAGTCGTCTCACAAGATTTCTGTATAATTCCTATAAATAGAAAAATGCTTAAATCACAAGAAAGATCTAAAGTATTTGCTATGCTTTGGATATGGAATGTCCCCCAAAGGCTTGGTCCCCAATGCAGCAGTGTTCAGAGGTGGAGTTGTTAGGAAATGATTGGATCACAGGGCTCTGACCTTATCAGGTTCTCTCTCTCTCTCTCTCTCTCTCTGCTTCCCAGCTGCCAAGAGCTGAGCAGTTTTTCTCCTTCATTGACCTTCCACCATGATATTGTCCTGCCTCAGGTCTAAAGCAATGGAGCCAGCTTATCATGGACTAAAACCTCTGAAACCATGAGCCAAAATAAATCTTTCCTCCTTTGAGTTGCTTATATCAGGTGTTTTGGTCACAGTGGCAAAAAGCTAACAGCATTCAACAACTTAAAAATTAAAGAGAAATCCATTTGTGCTTCTGAATGACAAGAAAAAAATAAATATTTGGAATTAAAAGACATAATACTTTTCTATCAGAGTTTGCCTCCTAAAGCAAATATATGAAGTAATACTAAATTCAGTTAGAATTCTTAGTTAATAGGAACAATTTCACTGAAGACTGAAGGAGGCAAAATGATTGTGGCCTTAGATAATTCAAGCACATTTCATCTTCATACCACCATGATTAAGCATCCTAATATGGCTTGATTTAAAGAAAAATATGAGGGGCTGGGGTTGTAGCTCAGCGGTAGAGCACAACCTCGCACATGCTGGGTTCGATCCTCAGCACCATATAAATAAATAAAATAGAGATATCGTGTTCAATTACAACTAAAAAATAAATATATAAAAAAGAAAAATATGATATATTCCTCCTCCAGAGATACCTAGTTAATCTAGAGGCAAAATAAAACACTGATTAACTAAGATATAATCAAAATTTTAAAGGTTCTTTCTTTTATTCACTTATCAAAATGGAAATCTTCAATAGTTTTGCTGACAAAAAGCAAACACATTAAAGCTGGATTTTTGTTGTTCTGTTTTTTGGGGGATAAGGTCTTGCTATATTGCCTGGCTGGCCTTGAACTCCTGGGCTGAAGTGCTTCTCCTTCCTCAGTCTCCTGAGGAGCTGGGACTACAGGTGCCCCAAAGAATTTTTTTTTTTTTTTGTACCAGGGACTGAACCCATAGGAACTTAACCACTGAGCCACAACCCAGCCCTTTTTATTTTTTATGTTGAGACAGTCTTTCCCTAAGTTGTTAAGGGCCTTGCTAAGTTGCTGAGGCTGGCTTTGAACTTGCGATCCTCCTACCTCAGCCTCCTGAGCCAAGGAGATTATAGGCATGCACCATGGCGCCCAGCTCCAAATGTTACATTTTCTATCATTTCCCCAAATCTCCCCCAAACAAGGCTTTTACATACACAACCTTTTAGCAGCCTCCAACTCTCCTGCAAGTACCCTATACTAAAGGAAAATTCTACTCCTTTTTAAGACTAAATGTCTAGGGCTGGAGAATACTTGCCTAACATGCATAAAACCCTGGGTTTGTTCCAACACCACAAAAAATAACTAAATGTCTGTGTCAGTCAGCTTTTCATCGTTGTAACTAAAATACCTGATAAGAACAACTTAAGAGGAGGAAAAGTATATTTTGAGCTCACAGTTTCAGTGGTTCAGTCCATGGTTGGCTGACTCCACTGCTCTGGGCCTGAGGTAAGCCCAAATATCATGGCAGGAGGTGTGGTAGAGGAAAGTTGTCTGCTCATGGCAGCCAGAAAGCAGAGAAAAAGATGCCTCTAGTGACCTACTTATTCTAGCCACACCCCACCTGCTTATAGTTCCTATAAGGGACTTTTTGAAGAATATCTCAAATCCAAACCATAACAATGTCTGATGTTGATGACATTCAGTAAGATAGAAAGAACATGGAAATATGTATTATTTGCTTCCTTGTTTTATATACATTTATATATATTCTTATTGGTTGTTATAGAAATGGCTAGCTGCTATCAATATTCATTCTCTTCTTCTAGATACAAAGTTGCCAGATAAGAGAGTCCGAGCTGCGGCGGCACCAGTCATGGCTGGACAAGCATTTAGAAAGTTTCTTCCACTTTTTGACCGAGTATTGGTCGAAAGGAGTGCAGCCAAAACTGTAATCAAAGGAGGCATTATGCTTCCAGAAAAATCTCAAGGACAAGTATTGCAAGCAACAATAGTAGCTGTGGGATCAGGCTCTAAAGGAAAGGGTGGAGAGATTCAGCCAGTTAGTGTGAAAGTTGGAGATAAAGTTCTTCTCCCAGAGTATGGAGGCACCAAAGTAGTTCTAGATGACAAGGACTATTTCTTATTTAGAGATGGTGACATTCTTGGAAAGTATGTAGACTGAAACAAATCACTGTTGAAATGGCATCCTATGAAGCTGCCCATTCCACTGAAGTTCTGAGATCTTTCATCATGTAAATAATTTCCATGTGTCTTTTATAATAAACTGATGATAATCTAATAACAAAAAAAAAACAAAGTTGCCAGATAAGACCATATTTTCCAGATTCACCTTAAAGCAAATCCCAGAATCATCCCATTTCACATAAAATCCTTCAGTTAAACCATCTTTGATAATGGATTGTTTCCAACTTAAACACCATACCATTATTACACCTAACAAAATTAACAGAACAGGTAATTCCTTAACATCATCTAATACCTAGTATATACTGAAATTCTCTTGATTGCTCAAAGATGTCTCTTATAGTTGATTCATTAGAATCAGGATTCAAAGATCACATACATTTGGAACTTTCTATTTCCTGCTATCGATTTGTTTCTTCATTCCTTTGTTTGTAAAATGATCCATGATAGCTTCCTAATAGTATCATCTGCATTTTTCTTCTATCTTCGCCCATTGCTTGTCACTCGTAAGTAAATCTAGAAGCTTAATTAAATTCAGTTTCATTTTTTTTTTAGGCAGGAATCTTTGAATGTGGTCTATCTACATCCTATTTCATTACATCATGAAGTCCATAGGGAAATGCCAGACACCATGGGTGTTAATTATGTAGTATTAAAAAGCAAAGTTTTTCCAAGTAAAGTAGGTTCAACTACCCTTAAGTGGTTATTAATCATGCAATGATGGCTAAATTTTCAACTAAAGGAACTTTTCCAAATAAAGTTTTATATTTGCTTTCTTTTCTACTCTCAACAGTATGCTTTATTTCTTTAAAATGCGCAGTAGTGCATGCCTATAATCCCAGCTATTTAGAAGGCTGAGTCAGGAGGATCACAAATTCAAAACTAGCCTGGGTAACTTAATGAGACCCTATCTCAAAATAAAAAATACTGGGAATGTAGCTCAGTGATAAAGAATACCTGAGTTTGATCTCCAATACCACAAAAATAAAATAAATAAAATTACAAAACTGTATATCTGTCCAAATACTTATTATACAGTTCTCTCCCTCTATACTAAATTAGAAACTTTTCAGGTGCCAAATATAAGAAATGCAGGATAATTGTACAATACCCAATAGCACAACAAACAACACATTAAGAATATAAAGCACTTGGTTTAGTTAACATCTAAAATAAGATGCACCAGATACAAGATCTGAAAGGAGGGGTAGTGATAGTGATAGATTCATTCCAAGTGAAGAGAAAAAAAAAAAAAAAAAAACTCAACAAATCTTATTTGATATGATACCAAGTGGTTTCCTAACTGGTGCTAAGTAATATTAAAAAATAATACAGATGGATGATCAACTGAAAAATTTTCTCAGTACCAGTCATAAAGAGTGTGCTATTTGGGGCTGAGGTTGTGGCTCAGTGGTAGAGCGCTTGCCTTGCATCTGTAAGGCACTGGGTTCAATCCTCCACACCACATAAGATAAATAAATAAATAAGTAAAACAAAGATGTTCAACTAAAAGTGGGACCTTGAAAAATAAGGGTTTCTCAGTCTGTTTCCTAAATTTTCCTAGATGCTAAACTAAAGACTAAGCTAAAGACTTCTTATCATTATCTTGTTTAAACATAATCCCAGCCCCAAACTGCTCTGTGAGGTTGGTAATATCACTTCCATTTTATAAAGGAGGAAAGGCAGACACAAAGAGGTTGAAGGTTGTCCAGTGTTCCATTACTTGCAGTAACAACACTAGAATTCATACTCACATACCATTTTCCTAACATGAGCTTCCAAATATGCAGTACTGGGAAATCAAACCCAATGCTTCAGACATGTCAGGCAAGCACAAAGTACATCTCTACCCCCTAATACCTTTTAATAAAACACTTCTTTATGCTTATCTTGTTCTAGTACTCCACCACAAATGACTTTGCTGACCTTTGCTTTGTCCTGCCAGTCCTTTCCTCTCCTCTCCCCAAGTCCTACATGTAAGAATCCTGCATGGCTCTTTCCTTTCTTAGTGACCTCATTTTCCTTTACAGTTCCTACTACCAGCTACTTACGTGGAAATTACTAATGACCTGCACCAATAGTCCAAAATTTCTAAGACTGTCAGCACTAATAATATTTGTGTAAGTTTTGTTCAATGATTTAAGTCTGCCCCTATGCCTGGTACCACCCAATAGAGTGATGTTAACTAAAAGTCCCAGAGGCACCTCAATTATATCTAAACTTAAAGTTGCTTACCTCTAACAATTCTCCCCCCACCTATCCTCATTTAGTAATGGGGATCAAACCCAGGGGCGCTTTCCCACTAAGCTACATCTCCAGCCCTTTTTTTTTTTTTTTTTTTTCTTTTGAGACAGGTTTTTGTTAAATTGTTGAGGCTGGCTCAGATTACAGGCAAGGACCACCACACTCGGCTACCCAGCTAACAATTCTTTTTTTTTTTTTTTTTTGGTACTGGGGACTTAACCCGGGGGTGTTTTACCACTAAACTATATCCTCAGTCCTTTTTATTTATTTATTTATTTATTTATTTTTGAGACCAGGGGCTTGCTAAATTTCCTAGGCTGGCCTCGAACTCGCGATCCTCCTGCCTCAGACTCAGGAGTCACTGGGATTACAGGCCTGCGCCATCCCCTAATAATTCTTAAAAAACAAAAAACGCCTCCTTTTCGGTCATTTCCTACCCTAGTATCCTTGGCAAGAATGCCAGCGTGGACAGTATTTCCGGGAGGAAGGCGGGAGGAAGGCGGGAGGACAATTCTGGTTCGGAGCTTCCTCCCTTACCGCACCAACCTCACCTAGCTCGAGTAAAACAAACCCAGCGACCCTCAGCGCGCCACTCACCGTCGCGGAGCTTGGGGGCGATCTCGCGAGATTTGACGAGAAGAGAGGGGCTGGCTCCAGCATGACCTTAGCCCTCCAACCACACCACGCAGGCGCAGGACTAAGCCTGGCTCCGAGCTCCCGGGGCTCCCAGGGGCAGGGTTTTGAAGTTTAGGGAGGATTCTTCTGATCCCCACGTTTCCGTCAGAGGCCGGGGAAATACCAAGCTTCAAAAGATACGTCTGAGCAAATGCATTAATAAATTAACTGCCTGGACCCAAAGAGCAAATCATTCAACCTTGACCAGGAGTTCACATCCATCTGCCCTTGAAGGAATTTTATTCGTGTTATGGTCTCTGTGAGCCTCAGACTGGGAAGTTACCGTAGAGAGAGACTATCAACCCTAACCCTTGCTTTGTAGGTGAGGAAACTGAGGCTCGGAGGGACGATGTGTGGACCACATACCTTTCAGCGAGTTAGGGGCAGAGCTACAGTTAAAACTTCTCTCCAGGCTGATGGCTCAGGGCCCTTTAGCGAGACTTTATGACAGGGTTTAGCCTTTTCTTTTACACAGAATTCCAGATTGCTCGAAAATGAATTACCTAATGTGAACTGATTTTGTAATTTCATTAATTATTAAGCAATTCTTTTATTGCTGGTCGGGGATGAGCAAGTCTTCATCCTAGAACAGCCTTGGGTCCTCAGGGCCTTCAAACTCTTGGGGAGACTATCCTGAAATTACGTGTATAAGAAGTGCTGTTTACATTGAATTCCTATGAGAGCTAACACACAAGCACAAGTCATGGTATAGAATAGCTGAAAGATGATTTGGTGTGGTCAGCAAGCAGGTAGCAATCAAATAGGTTGGATTTCCTGGTAGCTTGACCTCTAAGCATTTTCACTTCTTTAGAAAAGCTTCAGAAAATGACTAGGAAATATCTGAATTTCCCGCAGGAACTAATCTTTGTATCTGTACAGATAGACCTTCAATAACCTTTTGTTGTAGTAACTGGAATCAACTGATGAAAAAGAAAATGCTCAAACTAAAAGTAATAGTAGAAAATAAAGGTAGTTTTAATACTTGATCTAAAAAGAAATAGTCTTTCAGGGGCTGGGGTTGTGGCTCAGTGATAGAGCACTTGCCTAGCATGCAAAAAATAAAATAAAGGTATTATGTCCATCTATAAAACACACACACACACACACACACACCAATCAAAAATGTTTTTAAAAAATAGTCTTTCAAAGCAGAACTGCAACATTAAATTCACTTCAGCTGTCACAATTCTAGGGGCAGTTAACAATTGTGATTTTTCTCCTTGAATGAATTCCTAATCCCAAAAATTCAAGGAATGAATTTACAGGTATCTTTTCATCTTGTTTCTCTTCTACTTCTAATGTTGCTGTCATTTCTATAACATTTTGAGTTAACTAATGCCTTATGTGACTTTTTCCCTATGCGATTTAATTTTTAAAACAACCCTATTATTATCATTCCCATTTTACAATTGAGCAAACTGAAGTTAAATCAGCTAAGTACTAAGTTAGATTAAATAACTAATAAGTAAAGGAGCAAATTTTCCTACTTGATTCCAAGCACCTACCCTTCTGCTATATTTGCCATAAATCTGGAAAATTCCCTTCTCTCATCCATCTGTAGAAGCTTAATCCTGTCTCTTTGATTATTCAAACAATTTCTGAGATAATCACTTTCCAGACTTAAATAGAGGGAGGTGTCAATTTTTCTTACACTACCTTATCCAAAAATGCTATGGTGTATATGTTGTTTCACTCAAGCATAATATAAACTTTTAATCTGATATGTTTATATATTCATTCATTAAATTATTTTTAATTAAAATGACCTCATATGACTTCCTGTGTAGTCATCTCTGTCAGTTTGCAAATTGCTCAGGAGAAAGAATATAAGTATGTCTAATCTGCATAGTATGGAGCACTTAGTGCAACATCAAAGATAATTTGATGCTAAATAAGTACCTTTTTTGTGGAAGTGATAATTGTTCATAATGATACAAATACATCCTAGAGAAATAATACAACAAGGTAGGAGATAAAACCACAGCTGTCTCCCATTAGTCTGTAAGACATTCAAGGTCCATGTATCACTGACTTCGTTTTTCTGAATCTACCAGCACTTTTTATTATATCAGGCCAAGAATAAGGTGCTTGATAAATATCATTTGCATAGATGAATGGATGAATAGAAACTTCATATTTGATGAATCTGTCTAAAGTTCTCAGGAACTGTCAAAAACATACTAGAGCTAATGCTTTTAACATTTTTATGGAGATGTAATTCACACATTATAAAATTTGCCATTTTAAAATATACAATTCAGTGATCTTTAGTATATTCACAAGATTTTGCTGCTATCAACATTTAATTGAATGATATTTTTATCACCCTTTACCCATTATCGGTCACTCTTTGCTCTTCCCTCTCCCCCAGCACCTAGCAATTACTAATCTACTTTCTGTCTCTATGGATTTGCCTTCTCTGGGCATTTTATATAAATAGGATCATAAATATGTTAGAGCCATTTTTTATCATTATAGGTACTTAGTTCCCCAGTTGAAGAATGCTATAAGGACTCCTGAATTCAAGTTTAAATAAATGAACTTTCTTTGGGCAAAAGGAAAGACAATATTTGTACCTTTACAAGATGGCTTCTCTGGAAAGCAAACTCTGAGGAAGAGTTTAGTGTGCAGGATGTTTATTGGGAAAGGCCTTTGGCTTCAACACCCATGGCAGGAGAGGGAAGAAAGCAGGGTTAGGCAAAAGAATCAGTTGAACTCCACCAGAAGCAACTCCACATAGAGCATGGGACTGAAATGGCCAGAGTTGTCCTGTGTTGGACCTGAAATTTCTCCCACTGCTTTTATTTAAAGTCACTATAGATCATCTTTCTCATAATTGCATAACATAATTCTCTCTCCTATACTTCCTGTTGGCATGACTGATATTTTTAGAGAGTTAAATGCTATAAACTCCTTATTTCACTGTTATTAAATAAAAGCCTATGCATCTCTTTTTTTAATATCTTTATTTTTATTCATTTATTTTTTATGTGGTGCTGAGGATGGAACTCAGGGCCTCACACCTGCAAGGTAAGTTCTCTATTACTGAGCTACAGCCCCAGCCCACCTATTCATCTCTTCCTCCACTTCTGCCAGCATAATTTACCTCCACTAGCCTACTTCTTGCTTATAATGCTGACTAATGAAATCTAGAAACTGCCCTTAAAAATACAGTTTTCAAAATTAGCGAAAAGTCTCTTAGAGATAAATGAGATTTCTCCTCTCCTCTGTAGCTAGTGATAGAGAGAGAACTTTCTGAGCCATAAAACTACTTTAAGGAATTAAAGGTATATAGGGTGTTGAATTAAGAACATTCATAAGATTATCAGTGTGTGGATATTTATAAATGTGATCAACTTTTTCTTCTCTCTATTAATATAAATCAGTTCTTGAAAAGTACAATTTCAAAAATGAGCATGAAGAACTCTTAGAAACAGAAATTCTTGCAAAACCATGTGAAAATGGGGCTGGGGATGTGGCTCAAGCGGTAGCGCGCTCGCCTGGCATGCGTGCGGACTGGTTCGATCCTCAGCACCACATAGAAACAAAGATACTGTGTCCGCCGATAACTAAAAAAATAAATATTAAAATTCTCTCTCTCTCTCCCCCCTCCTCTCTCTTTAAAAAAAAAAAAGAATGTAAGTTTGGCTAAAGAGAATGTATCAAGAACATACGTGAGGGCGATTTAGTTAAGATTCTTTTGATTTGATTTTGAGTGTCTAGCATAAGTTGTCTTTTTTTTTTTTTTTAAGGAAACTTCTTCAAATTTCAAAGGGTACTATGATAATTTAGAATCCAAGAAATAGCTGAGAAGTGAAACTTCATATAGGAATCAGACAAGTTCTAAGGACTGCAATAAACTCTACATCTTTTCTCTGAATTCAGTTCCAGGGATTCCGAAATCTGAGATAAAAAAAGAAATTCCAAAGTTCTAGGAGAGAGATTGGCATAGCTTGGATGTGTCATTGTGTCTATGTATTCTTTCCTCTTCTGGGACTTCTTTTCAAGGGTCTATGTGTTGATACATTGTGTCCATGTATTGATACATTGTTGTTATGCTTTCCTTTATTCTTTTTTTTAAATATTTTTTTAGTTGTAGATGGACACACAATATCTTTATTTATTTTTATGTGGTGCTAAGACAAACCCAGTGCCTCACACATGTGAGGCAAGCGCTTTACCACTGAGTTACAGCCTCAGCCCAACTTTCCTTTATTCTTTAAGTGTGATTTTCTTTAGTCCTTTATACTAGCAGCTTCTCCCCGCATGCCCCAAGTACTGGGATAGATCCAGGGCCTTGCCTATGCTAGGCAAACATTAGACCACTGGACTAAATCCCTAACTCTATTACTTTTTTTTAGCTGCTTTAAAGTCTTTGTCCATTAAATTGAACCTCTAGGACAGAAACTATTATTATTCACTGCCTTTCTTCCCATCCCTCCCCACACACACACACTGAGTATGGGTTACCCCTTTTTGTTTCGTTTCATGCCTCACATTTTTGTTGTTGTTGTTGAATATTTTATATTTTTTGAATATATTGTTTAGTTGTTGAAGGACCTTTATTTTCTTTATTTATATATGAACCCAGTGCCTCACACATGCTAGGCAAGCTTTCTACCACCGAGCCACAGCCCCAACCTTACTTTTTTTTTTTTTTTTTTTTTTTTTTGATACAGGGGATTGAACTCAGGGGCACTCAACCACTGAGCCACATCTTCAGCCTTATTTTGCATTTTATTTAGAGGCAGGATCTCACTGAGTTGCTTAGTGCCTCGCTTTTGCTGAGGCTGGCTTTGGACCCATAATCCTCCTGCCTCAGGTTTCAAAGCCACTGGGATTACAGGTGTGTATCACCCAGCCTGGCCTCAGCCCTTCATTTTTTTTAGTTGTAGATGGATACAAAACCTTTATTTACTTATCTTTATGTGGTGCTGAAGAGCCTCACTGGTGCTAGCCAAGTGCTCTACCACTGAGTCGCAACCCCAGCCCCCTACATTGTTTATAATATGTAACAAACATGGATTCTGAAATTTTCTCCCTGAAATTTGTTGTTTCTAGTATTTTCTTTCTCTCTTCCTCTTTTCCTTCTTTCCTTCCTTCCTTCTCTCCTTCCCTCCCTTTTGC